TTTAATTGTTCTTAATAAATATATTGGTATCAACTACATGAACTTCTCTTTCCATCTGTAGAAGTGCTGCTGCTTTTAAATCAAATCAAGTTCAAAAGGAACAGAAAAGACTATCAGTACTACATATTTTTAGAAAATAAGTCATGAAAACAGTGAGCTTCTGATTTACCAACTTAAGTAAGTATATGAGACAGAGGAATAAACAGGACGAAAAGAAGAACACAATCTCACACACCCGCCTACATGCATCTTCAGGATTATGTGATTTTCTAGTTGAATAGCCAAGATCACATCATTAAGCCTTTGAAGTTTTATCAGATGTTACCAATATTTTTAACTAAGAGCATATTTAACGAAAGCCATAATGAACAGGGAAAAACTATGGACATTAGCTTTCAAGAATGATATATCTCTAAAGGACTATCAGAAATTAACTATTGGTTAGGTTTATTGACATAAATAATTTTCTAATTTTTCAGTGTGTATAAGACTTGGCATATACTATTTTTATTGCTACTTGCATAAAGAATGGCTTCTAAAACTGAAATCTTAAACTGAGCTCCCAATTTTCTTGGTCACCAGATGTATATTTGACGTCCAATGTCTTAACTCATAGCTTTACTTTATAAATCATCATGTAAGGATGAAGAAAAAAATAAGGTCAACTTTTGGCAGTTTTGTTTGCTTGTTTTGTTTTTCAATAAAATTGCTGCATACAACTCTTCTTCAAAGTGGTTGGATGTGGAAAGAATATACGCTGGAAAACTAAATGATATTAACATAAAAACCATATGCCTAATTAATATTTAAATTTCATAATAGAAAAACTTCAAATCTTGCACCACTTACAAGTGTTATATGATATTTTAAGGTGTTAATAATACATTTGAATTTATCTGTTTTCTATAGCTTGGCTTGTGAACAAGATGGTAGATGAAAAATCATTGGACTAAGAGTGAAGGACTTGTCCTGGACTAGCCAATAAGCAAGGGGTGCTGGGCACGCCACTGAAAAGCCTTGTGGTTTGATGTTTTCATCCAGAAAAAGGGGATGACTTTGGCCCTGTTGGTTGTGTAAAATGACTGGGAGATTAAAAGGAGGTAATATGCCTAAGGATTTTAAAAGACTGTAAAATGCTACATAATATGTGAGCTTTTATTTAGTTAGCTATTTATTTAGTGTGTATGTGTGTGGTGATAACAAGGAAGAAGCGAAGGAAGGGAACCAGGTTGATAATGGAGGGAATCTCTCTGGGGCAAAGAGTGGTATCAGGAAAGAAAAGAAAACAAAACAAACAAAAAAAAAAAAGGTTCTTGACATGCAAATGATGAAATTTCATGGGTTTATTTCTAAAAGTAAATATTCATATAACTTAAAGGTTCTCTTGCATTTCTGCCCATATATTGCCAGGTTCAGTTTGTTTTTCCTTGTATTTTAGAGTACAGGAAAGAAGAAATATAAATTCTGAAGTCTTCCGATTCATCTGTATTTCTTACAAACTGCATTAACCTCTAACTTTTATAATTCTATTACTTTTAATATTAGTTTATGTCTGTTTTAGAATTAGGATAATGATTATACTTTTTTTTTTTTTTTGCCAGTCAAGGAAACAGTATTTTTGTCAACTTACTATTCATTTTTCTCCATTGAAAAAAGGCAATCTACTTCACTGAGACATAAGTCATCAAACCCTCCTGTCATGGATTGAATTGTGTCCCCCCAAATGTGTGTCAACTTGGCTGGGCCATGATTGCCAGTATTATGTGGCTGTCCTCCATTTTGTGATGGTAAATTTTATGTTAAAGAGGATTAGGGCGGGATTGTAACACCCTTACTAAGGTCACATCCCTGATCCAATGCAAAGGGAGTTTCCCTGGGGTGCAGCTTCCACCACTTTTATCTTATGAGAGATAAAAGGAAAGGGAAGCAAGCAGAGAGTTGTGGACCTCATACCACCAAGAAAACAGTGCCGGGAGCACAGCATGTCCTTTGGTCCTGGGGTCCCTGCGCGGAGAAGCTCCTAGTCCAGGGGGAGATTGATGAGAAAGCTGACAGAGAGAAAAGGCCTTCTGCTGGAGATGACACCCTGAATTTGGACTTCTACCCTACTAGACTGTGAGAAAATAAATTTCTCTTTGTTAAAGCCATCCACTTGTGGTATTTCTGTTTATAGCAGCACTAGATGACTAAGGTACCTCTTAAACTTATCTAATTATATAAAACTTGAGATTTAGCCAGGCACAGGATAAGTAACCGGACATGAGCAGCTAAGGATGATCCTGCTCCGGGCACTATCAAGATTTAGATTTACATATACATGTACGTGGATTATTTGTAACTTCTTTCAAGGAGCAAATCTGATGCATACTCTATGTAGAGAATTCAATTAGACCAGAAAAAATTTCCATAGCATCCTTCCTAATTTCCCTAATTAGTAAGATTTACAGTTGCCAAAGAAGACTCAGCATGTATGTCTCCTATCTGTGCTGTTTACAGATCACCATTTGCTACCTTTGCAAAGGCAGAAATTAACAAGGTCTTCTTACAGTACAGACCCATCAGTGGTCACAGGTAGACTTTCCACCTCCCTGGCCCAGAAAGACTTTTGATTTTTGTAAGCATTCCTATTCCCTTTGGGGTGAAGAAAAGAATTATATACAACACATTTTCATCCAGAGCTTAGATGTTATTTAACTAGATAAAGTAGCAAAAGTCCATTCTGACTCTGACTTACCTTTTGAACACTGTTAAATCAACCTGCTATAGTTCTCAGCACAGATGTCTAGGAGTATAGACCAAAGTATTATTTCAATTCACTGTATCCCTGGTAACTGAGGCATCCACTTCAAGATTTCCCTGCCTCTTTCCCTCCCTTCCAGTACTTTATTAAGACAGGGTGCTGGACAGAGAACACATACAGTTTAATGCCTGAGTGCACAGAAGTTATGAAAAAAGGTATCTTGGATGTACAGCTCTCAACATTAAAAAAAAAGACAGAAAATGGAAACAAGTGTGAAAAACTGAAAGAGAAGAATACATTAGCACAACTGATACTATGTGGTGCCATTACAACAGAAATATGTCTCGTTTCTTTGCTTTCATAGGAGAAAGATTTTCCATATAGAAATGTCTATCCCATAAGAAAACATCTACACTTTATCAAAATAATAATATTTAAGCAAAAAATAATGTGGAAACCAACATATCTGTTTCCTAGGTATTTCTAGAAGCTTTATAAGCTATTGTGCACTTCAAATGGGAGTAAATAATTACTTCACTTTGTTTTCTCTTTTAATTGAATAAGTTTTGCTCATGTTGTGATAACAGGTTTATTTGAAAGCAAAAGTAATTTGTTATAGAACAGCAGCTTTTATAAATGGAAACTTCTACAACAGAACACTGTGAGATGTTTAAATATTAACCAGACATACTGCTTGCTCTCTACACTAAATTTCAGAAACTTAATACAAATTAAGTACATATTTTATTGCTAGATCTTGCTTACCAGTGCTATGAAATCCATGAAGTTCAATTCTAATTAAAAATGAAATTGAACTGCAATTCCCTGGAAACAAGGGCTGATCAGACTCAACAAACTTTACTTAATTTATTGCAGAAACAAAATAATTGAATTGCTCATAGACAAAGAAAAAAAATGTTTATATTGTTAAAGAAGTACATGCTTCCAAATCTGTTACAATTCTATCATATTTTAAAGGTTCACAGCTGATTATATATCATATATATACATATTTTTTTTCAAGATATTCAAGGGTCCAAGAATATTCCAGATACTTCTGTATTTATTATTCATAATCTCTGTATGTATGCTTTCTAAGACTGCATGATGAATTACAAATTTAAATATTTTTAATTATAATCTTTTTTTTAAAAAAAGAAATTAGTACTTTTTATAAAGGACTTTCCCAAATGCTTGACTTACAATATTTAATTGTCACAACTACCCCAGGGCATTTTTATGATTACTCTTGTTTTGTTTTCTGTCTTGTTTTATTTGTTTTCTCATGTTTTATTTATTTTTAACTTAAGAAAATTGTAGCTTAGTAAGAGATTGAGATTTTTCCATGGTTAAGTATCTTTTAAGAGCAAAAATGTGAATGCTGATTTGAAACTAATAGAAGAAAAAGAGGAAAAAAACTAACCATGAATGAAGGGAATACTGTTGGGCAAAGAGCTGAGCAAATGATTCTTTGTCCCCCGCCACACACACACACACACACACACACACACTTTGTTTCCCATTGTTTTATAAAGGATTCAGTTTGAGATCACAATGGGCTGACCACATATGTGTGCCTGCAAATTCAAAATGAAATGGCTTCATTTTCAGAAAGAGTTTTCTTTGGATACAGGCTTGAATTAAGGAGTAATAGTTTTAGAATAGTTCTAGACAGTATCTCCAAGCATCTCTGGAATTTTATATTAGAACAGACATTCAAATAATCAGAGTCCTCAGAAATGAAGACTTTTTCAGGAGATAGTGTTTATGCAGAGGAGAAATGTCTATCTGTCAAGAAATTCATAGAAGCCACTCCTGCACTGGCCAGAGGTTTTATCTAAATCAACTTTTCTAATAGCGCCTGTCTTGTATAGTTGAGGCATTAAATAAGACAATTGAGGCTGTATAATAGTACTTTGAAACAGGTATATGGTAAATAGCATCATTATCATCATTAATCCTGTTATTTGATTTTTATGAGAAGATGTGAAGAGTGTTGAAGAAAATAAAAAAAAGTATGTGTGTAACAAAGTTGGATGCAGATATTCGTAGGCAACGTCATGTGACAATATGAAGCTAGTTGTTGGGTGCTGGCAAGTTGATTTTTGACTCACAGTGACCCCGTGTGACAGAAGAGAACTGCCCCATTGAATTTCCTAGGCTGTAAACCTTATGAGAGCAGATTGCCAGGTCTTTATCTCACAGAGCTGCTGGGTGGGTTTGAACCACCAGCCTTTTGGTTAGCAGCCACGTGCTTAACCATTTGTGCCACCTGGGCTCCTTAATATGAAGCTAAAAGCACAAAATTATCTAGGTAAAAGCCTGGAATTGAAGCAGAGGGAAAGTAAATAAATTATCTTAGTGAGATGGTAGAATAAAGGAGTGAAAGAATATAGTAATTTCATGGAAAACAAAATTGGTATTTTCTTATGAAAAAGCAATAGGAAAATGTATATTTGGTTATGACAGTCAGAGAAGAAAACACAACTGCTAGTTAAATGGAATAGTGCTTAAAATGTTTTAAATTAATAAGGGGGAAAATGGGACTGACCAATTATCTGATCAAATCAGAAAAAGGGAAAAAAACAAAGATAAATAATAATCATTGAGTATGGAAAAAATAAATAAGTTTTTACCCTAAGGGAAAACAGATGAACTATCTTCTTAAAACCAGAGATAGCTGAATTAGATTAAAGGTAATGAAATTTTAGCAATATGCTTTTTACAAGAAACATTCTTAAAGCAAAATAATAGAGACTGAAGAAAAAAAAGATAAGCAGATAGATACCAGGCAAATGGGAAAAAGGAGGAAGAGGAGGAGAGGAGGAGTAGGGGGAAGGGGGTGAAGGAATGGCACATTAATATAAAATATTTGAAATTAAAAGCAATAGAAAGATTCAAGGTAAACATTACATAAGAATAAAAAAATCAAAAAAATACATAAAGAATGTACTATATATCCAAATATACTAAGCAATATAGCCACAAAATAAAAATGTATTAGAAATATAAGAAGAGCTGATAAAAAATAGAATTATATGGGAGATGTTACCTACTCCAGAATTAGATAAATCTTGATAGCCAAAAGAAAGGACATACTAGAACTAAATAATTCAATAATAAGCTTCAAGTAGTAAATTGCATTCTTCTGAGAACACACACACATACAATCATTTTACAAAACATTTCATACACTTGACTACAAAGAAAGACTAAACAAATTCTAAAAATTAGAATTTTCATTGGATTATTTACCATGATCTAATCAATTAGAGATAAATAAAAAAACAACAAATAAATGTAATCTATTACTAAATAATTTTGGATTACAGCACAAATGAAAAGCATCAAGAACTGAATGAAATGTAGATTACATAACACCAAAATTTGGGGGATACAATGGAACTTGTACTCATATAAAAATTTATAGTTTAATAGTTCATAGATAGTTCACATAGAAATTTAGCTTTAATCTAAAGAAACTGGAAAACAAAGCATAAAACTAAATAAGAAAACAAAATTATTTAATATAAAAGAAAAAAATTGAAATAGAAAACAACAAAAAAGGAGAAAATCGTTTAACGTGTTAATCTGTGGCCCTCAAAAAGTATTTGCACATCATAATATTTGCAAACATTAAGAATAGAACAAATTCATCACAACTGACAGCATGTTGAAGATTGTGGCATATGGATATATTAAATATTTCCAAAGCAGCCTGACCACGTCCCTAGACTCAAATCAAACAAAATATCCAGCAGTGGAGCATCTGGTCCAGCAGCTGCCAAGCGCACTCTGTGAGTAAAAATGAGGTTTCACTTACAAACTGGAGAGGAGACTGCCAAGGGGAAGGGCCTTTAATAAAACCAACAACAGGCAGAAACAATGCCAAATTAATATAGAAATGAGTACAGGCATGTGTCATTTTGTCTCAATTATAGAAGTCAAATCTGCAAAAAGAGGAGTCATATTAGACACTAACAGAGGATTGCAACTGTTGAATATTTTGACCATAAACATTTGGACATGCTTGTACATCTGTAATCCCCCTGGATAGGAGATGATGGAAGGGGAAAGAGGACCAGTTTGTTTTATTTGTGAACCACTGAAGACAAGGGGATGGCCCACTACCAAGTTCATTTCTGCAAATGGAATAGCTCATGACTCCTGATTTCCTGATTGACACTGACGTGAAAGGAACCACAGGGAGCAGCATTGCTTTTTGACTTCCCCTCTTCTCCCTTCTTGGATAAATAATGGCATTATTTTTCTTATCAATCTCATAATGAATGAATATTCTTAAAATTATTAAAAGTAAAATAAGACTAAAAAATCACTATCTACATTTGGTTGTGTAGGTCTATCTCTAACCTTTCTCCTTCTCTTGCATCTTAATTTAGGAAAAAAAAAATCCTAATTCTATAAAAAATCTACTAGGGTTGCCTTTTTGTTAATGTTGTTAGCTGCCACAGAATTGGCCCAACTTATGGCAACCCCATGCACTACAGAACAAAACGATACCCAGTTGTGGACTGGACTGTTGTGATTCATAGGGTTTTCACTGATTGATTTTCAGAAGTGGATCATCTGGCTTCTCTTCCTAGTCTGTCTTAGTCTGGAAATTTTACTGAAACCTGTTTAGCATCATAGCAACACCCACCGTCTACTGACAAACAAGTGTTGGCTGCACATGAGGTGTTTTGGCCAGGAATCAAACCCAGGTCTCCCGCATGGAAGGTGAAAATTCTACCACTGAACCATGAAGGCTCCATTGACTAACATGTACTTTTACAAGTATATGAGGCACAGAACTAACAGCCCTGTATTACAACTCAACCTGCTGTTCACTTGCCTTGTTGGCTTCATAACTAACACCTAGAAAGGAATAAAGTAATGCAATAGATAAATAATGAAATCAAATGAATGAGAAGCCACATCACTTCAGACCTGTTAGGGTTTTTTTGTTGTTTGTTTGTTTTTTCCCATTTTAAAAGGGGATAGGGACAGCAACGTACATAATTTTCATGTTTAATTAATAAAAAATGTCTATTAGTCTGGAAGCTTCACTATTAGAATCACGGGTATTGTCTAGCTTTTCCAGTAGTATGATCTCTAAGGAAAACTTACAAATAGGAATGGGGGTGTAACCATTTTGCTAGAAACACTGTGTCGGGTAGTTTAAGATAAATTATAATAATCCAATTTCCGAGAAAAAAAAATCTTAAAGAGAAACTAATAAGAAATAATGAGGTTATCTGATAAAGATACTCATGTCAGGTCTTATACATTTCAGGGGTTAGAAAGCAGAAACACCAGGTTAGGATTTTGAAATATAGGAAATGATTTTATTGGTGGTTTTCTCCTTGTTCACACTAAGAAAATCACAAAGTTTCATAAAACTAGTTCCAGCAGCCTTAAAAATTATATGATTGTTATACAATCAACTTAATGGTGACTAGGTTTTATTCTTAGAAACAAATAATCACCATTTAGTACTTGCCTCTATCTTTACTTTGCAGTTGAAGCTACACAACAATACAAAACTGGAAAATTGAGGTCAAAAGTTCAAGTAACTTTTCTAAAGTCACTCAGGACTAAGTGGCAGGAAAACAAAGCAAAACAAAAACCATGTCTGTGTGCCTTCAAAGCCCATGTCTTTTTCATCATGCCATACAACATGGGGGTCTCTTGACAAAAATATTCCAAAGAAAATGTTATTCTGCCTAAAGCAATGTCTATAGAGAACGCATGGCACCTGTCAATGTCTTTTATCAATTTTTCATTGCTTTTAAATTTTCCTTTTCATTGATCTTTCAAATATAATTCTTCTCTTTCTCTTTCCCTCTATATATTTTCCTGTTATCTTTTCAATTCCTTAACTCTAATCATAAGTATTTACAAAAGTAGCTATAGATAATATAGATAGATAGATAGACAGACAGATGATACAAACAGACACATTTAATACTTGTGGCTATATTTAATCTAAATAAATAAAAGACCTACTGCTCAATGCTTATAAAATATCTCTCTACTACATACTTTCCTAAGTGTCTTTTCTACGTAAAAAAGAAAATCTCATCTTAAAGCGTAAGAGTTTTTAGTGATACAATATATGTGATATATAAAACAATCTTTACCTTCCTACCAAGTATGTTCTGTCAACTCAGCCTATATACAGATACGAATTTAAATATTATTGGCATTTTTTTAAAGGAGCTATATATCAAGTATTCCATATTTCAAACAGTAATAAATGCTTGCTGAAAAAGTTTGCTACTCTGAGGAGTGGTTACTGAATCATATTTATATTATCAAATCCCTAAAACCCCAGCTGGGTTACTATTAATTAAGGTAGACAAATAATACTGGCCTAAAAGTCAGTCCACTGAAATACATGTGTCATCAAAACAAATGTTTGCCTTTGATTCATTCTTGCCCATCATTCACCCAAAAAAAAAAAAAAAAACCCCATTAATTTCCTTCTCTTTCTCCCTTAAATATTACTTAATTCTTATGGTATTATACAGTCCAAACAATAATTCCTTGAATACTATACTAGTTAATAACTTGGGCTCAAAAGAATTTTTTTTGAAAGGAGAATTACAGGTTGGATAACTCAGAGTACTTCAATAATTACCCACATCAAAAAATGAGAATTTATTTCTTGCTCCTTTTACCTTAAGATCGATTACTGCTTTCTGCATCCCCATGATCAAAGTCATTCTATGCTTTATCTTCTTAAAGTAAATTAAACCATCCCTCATGCCTCTGGCTAACAGCTGGCCAGTCAGAAGAGTAGATTTAATCAGTTAACTGTGTCCCCAACTGGAAGGGCAGCTGGATTTACCGAATATGCACATCTTTCTTGTATTTTATCTCAATTCAGATTCAAAGCAAAGAGCCTCAGATCCTCAGACTATCAAATCATCAACATTATTGAATAACCCACAAAGAATATCCATTACAACTGGTGTTATAATTTAGGCTAGATGCCATTCTTCACTTAACAAAACGGGAGGATTATTTTGATCCAGTAGAATTTCATCATCCACATTCTCTCCGCTATACATCGGTAGTTATCAATCCTGCCAAAATTCTATATCTCAGTAATTATTTTCTTCCTATTTTCTCTTCTGCACCCATCCGCATAATATCAATAGACTAAATCATAGCTAACTGAATGTGCTTCAGTCTGAGTTTTCATATTCAGTGAATCAGAAATGTGTAATAGAGAAATTGGAATTAACAGTGTTTTAAAAATGCAAAACAGAAAAAGGCAGCTGCATGGCATTTTTGTAGTTGTATTTATGTGCTTCCACATACTCTGCTGATGCTTACAAGTTTGTCATTACTTTCATAAAAACAACTTAAAACTTAAAATTGATAAATATATAACAATGTGCTTCATTTTACTTGCACTTAAAAAAAAATTCCAACATATAGCTCCAAAGGTAGCTTAAGGAAAACACAAAGATTTAGTAAAAGCATACAAATAAACAGTGATTTGTACCTCATTAAGCTATAAGGTATTTCACAAAAGTGCATTTTCCCTATAAATGATTAAGCCCTGAAACTGCTTTTTCCTGGATAAATGCAAAGGGTTTTGCTTTATACTGATTAAATGAACCAAGTATAAAAATGCACAACACATAACTGAAAGAAAGAGACTTGGGTTTACAGAAGTCCGGAGCTCTGAAAAAGAAATAGGAATGAAGGGCTGAGAAACAGGGTATACCAGTAGAACTGGGGGTTGGGGTGAGCTAGCAGAGAGATTTGTAATTTCAACGGTTTTCCAGACTTAAGGTTGAATAATATGAAACCAAGAAATGTGAAGTTCAAAAGGAACAAAAAGAATTTTTTTTTTTTAATTCTTTCCGTTTTTGAGTTTCTTGTTTCCAAGGTTAATGAAAATTGTTACTTCTTAGAAGTCTGTTGATTGAGTTTTATCAGATTCATGAACTGTGTTCTTCATTCTCCACAAAGCCATAACTAAAATGCAATAATGTGAGCTCAAAAGCAGTGAAATGAAAGTGTATGCTCAGGAATATAATGTCTAAGAATTTATACTAAGGAAATAATTAAACAGGCTTCAAAGTCCACCCAATCCATTGCTCATAAAGGTCGCCACTCAGAGTAGACTTTACCACAAGTTGATTTTAAATGGGCAACAGTTTCATTAAAAAGTAAAATAAAGCCCAACAAAAGAATGTGGAAAATGTAATGGTTGCTTATGAGTATTCTGCTGCTTGGTTCACTCAAGTCTTATTTGCAAAAAGTATAAAATGCAAATGAATGTATTCATCAATTCAACTGTCATTCAACATGCGTTTATTGAGGGACCCGTACATATCCTTTTCATTACCAAATTTTTATTAAAAAAATAAATTTGAAGGCATTGTTTTAAGGATTGGAGTGCATGTTTACTAAATGCGTGTGTGTAAATTTTCAGTTGGTAATATGGATTTTGAGAAATATGTGTGGCAATATAATCTGCCAATGAGACTAGTGGCACTGCAGACTCACTGATCCGTGGCATGACAGTATGCCAACGGGACTAGAAGTATAATTTATGGTGGGCGTCTTTCCAAAACAAAACCATCAGGGCTCCCTAACTATCACACAAAAACCCAAAACCAAACCCACTGCTGTCAAGTTGATTCTGACTCATGGCAACCCTATAGCACAGAGTAGAACTGCCCCATAGGGTTTCTATGGAGCAACTGGTGGATTGGAACTGTTGACTTTTGGTTAGCAGCAGAGTTCTTAACCACTGTGCCACCAACACTCCAACTATCACACAGGAAAGCCATAATTATGCTTGTAAGCCTTATCTCACAGAAATAAAGGGGAAAAAAAGGCAAAAGTTTACAAAACTTACACATCCTGGAAGCATTACCTAATAGAATGCTCAACGTACACAACAATGAGGCTCCAACTATGGTCTGTTGAGCTTCACACATTTCAAAAAGGGACCAAGCTTGACGCTAAATGCATTAGAACTGGAATAATGCCTTGCCAGTGAGGCCCAGAGGTATAAAAAGTGGCTGGCAAACCATTTATGCCAATGATAACAAAAAGGATATTATGCTAGACTGTTCTAGGTTCTGGGGATACATCATTTAATAAATATAAATGTGCAACTATTTCCATCCATTTCTTAAGGGAAGACTATGTTTTATAAGCATTAAGTCTTCAGAATTCGGTATATGTGGCTATACCAGATTTTTAGAGAGAAGTAATGCAAATAATACTACCATGTGTCTTAGGCTGGATTCTCTAGAGAAGCAAAACCAGTAATGCATATAAATATATATAAAGAGAGATTTATATCAAGGAAACAGTTCACACAATTGTAGAGGCTAGTACGTCCCAAGTCCGTGGATCAGGGTAGAGGCCTCTCCCAATTCATGCAGCTGCAGAAGCTGGCAAACGCAAGATCGGCAGGTCAGAGAGCAGGGCTCCCACTCACAGGCTGGGAAGTTCAATGAATTCCAAGACTGGCAGGCAAGACTGCAAGGCTTCTCCTGATTCATGTAGCTGCAGGGGCTGGTGAATCCAAGATCAGCAGGTCGGGGAGCAGGACTCTTGCTCACAGGCTGTGAAGGTCAATGAATTCCAAGATTGACAGGTAAGCTGCTAGCTCAAGTCCCAAGAACTGCAGGTGAGATGACAAGAGGCAGCTGCTGGGTCCGGAACAAGCCAAAAACCTTGGCAAGGTGAGCAGAAAGGAAACAGCCATTGGAGGACAGAGAGATGAAGGCTG